GGAGCACGAAGCCTAAAACAAACTTGCATGGAAATTCAGAAATGGCATTCATCTTCGGGGAATGTTTTGTTTGCTGAATTTTAAGGCAATGGCAAGTATTAGCATACTAAATTTAATAATGCGTGCATCCTGCAGTTTAATTTCATTTAAAATTTCTGAATCCTAAATGCTCCACATTTGTCAATTAATGATAACATAAAGGAAGTACAATAAACTGTTCTCAGTAAGTGATACGTTCCTTTTGCAAAACCTCAGTTTAAACATTCAACCTCTGGTCAAGTTTGTTGAAAGATAAATGCTCAGTTTGCTTTATACATTTAACTTTGGTGAAAATATTCAAGAAATATGCAAAAGAACAGGAATTTTGGAACATCATTCTGAATTCCTGTCAAGAATTTCCTCATCATTAGATCATTGGAAACTCCTGAGGCCATTTATTCTTTTGACTCTAATCTTAGATTTCTGTTTAAAAAAAAGTTTTATTATATATGGCTGTCATGTATCACCTGAATGATTGTCTTCAAAGAAGCTCATTGCACAATAATAATAGTTCCAGGATTATTCTTATCGTATTTGCAGATGGATTCCAGTTAAATACAAATTGAAATATTCCCTGTCGAATGATATTCCAAATGAGTATAACTTTTGTCACTAACAGATATTCAGATAGAAATCTCAAACTAATGTAGCATCAGTTGGTGATACAGACAGGGTTGGACTAAGTTAGGACCAGTCCTTTATTTCAGTATTTCAAGGCACTGTGAAATCTCTGAGGGACTTGGGCAGTTCAAAAATGAGAAAAATCGAGAAATAAATTTAGGCAAGGTACATTTCTATAATGTCTGGATTACCCAAAGAAAAACTGCAGCCTATTATTCTATAGTTTATGTAAAAATTCTAGAATTTGAAAATATAATTCAACATACTTATTCTTAATATTGCCTATCAGCTTTCCCCTTAAGAGGACAGGCAAGATAAGAATGATTTACTGTGCAATATCTTAAAATTATAAAGATTTCTCCAAAAAAAGGAGATTAGGTTTAGTTCACAAAGGGACATGGATTTCCTGAGGACTTCTGGTTTGAAGGGCTTCGGCGATAGACAGAAATCCGCAATCATGCGTGGTGTCTGTCTGGGCTCACCGCTGGAGTGCCCCGAGCCGGCTGGTTTTGGGGCTAAGCCACCCCGTAGAGGTGGTAAAGAGGGGAGAGACCACCAGCAGGGTTGAGGAGAGCCGCATTTCTCCTCCTCAGCTGCCCATTACTCCCTTTCCCGAAGGCGGTTGCAACGGTGGTCAGAAATGGCCACTACAAAGGAGAACTCAACTGGAAAAGAATGTGCAGGAGGAAGATAAGAAGTGAAAGTTTTGGCTGACCGGGTTAAATTGTAAAAGCAACAACTAAGTTATCCTAGAATTTAAACTTACAAAAAATAACATCACTCCCCAAAAAGAGTCGGAAGCAGCGAAGGAAAGTGAAAAGGGAAAGGTTTGGCTTTTTTTTTCTTCTCTCTCCTTCCCTATACTGACAACTAAGAGACTTAAATAAGAAATCGGAAAAATCCGCTTTGACATCAATATGCAATTAAGCTGAAAATAAAACAAAATGCCAAAGGGATAATAAAGATTTCTGGACATTAAAAAAAATTTTTTTCATAAGCAGGAAGGGAGAGAAAAAGAATAAGGGCAGGATTTGGAAGAGGGAGGAGACTGCCTGGAATTAAAAAGAATCTACAGTAAAACTTCAACAAGACTTCTAAAAGATACATTTTAACTAAAACTTTGAAACTAAATAGTAACCCCAGGAAGAGAAAGTGAAAAAAAAGAGCAAAAAAGAAACAGCTTGCGTGTATTTGGATTATTTGGTGATCTTGGGATTCTTGGTTATTATATTTGAATGACTAAAATCAATCGGGTGGTTGTTTAAAAATTTATACAATGGCACCACTTCTGGATGAATTGAAAATGGAACTTAAAAAGTACAAAGAAGATGCACAAGAAGGCTTTTGGCTTCGTTTTTCAATTCTTAGAAATTGAGATTTGGAACTATGAGAAACAACAAGAAACGACTGCAAAACAAGAAGACTGGGACAAAGAAGAAGCCATCTGTAATGAACAAGCAATTTTGATGTGGGGAATAAAAAGGAAAGGGGGGAAAGAGAATGGAGAATTTAAGACTTAAAAAAACAACCAAAGAAAAGAAAAATAATTTGAAAAATAAGTATAATACTGGAAAGCAACAGAAAAGGAGAATACAGAAGAGAGAAATAGAGGTAGAGAGACAAGGGGGTAAAAAGGGGAGAGGGAAGAAGAGAGGGAAGAAGAAAAGGAAAAGAAGTTACAAAGGACCGGAGCAAGATATAGAGAAACAGGACCTATTTAGAGATAATGGGTGAAAATCTAACTGAAAAAGGGACTCTGTAAAAGTACATAAGATTGTATTGTTATATTAGTAATAGAAATAACTTTAGAAAATTGGAAACAACGTATGATTAAAATGAGGGATAAAATAGTCAGTGTAATTTAGTGAAATGTTTGTGAATAAAATAAGTGAGAAAATTGAATTAGGAAGGAACGGGAACATTTTAATTAGTTAATGTTTTATAAAATATAAGTGAAGGGGGGGAATTAACTATGGAAAGTGTATAATTGTTCCCATAGAAGTATGATATTTAATTGAAAAGTAATGTTAAAGATGTTAAGATTTTAATGAATGTTAATATTAATGATAGAATTGAATTGGAATGGAATGTTGTTTTAATTATATACATTTATAATTTTTTCTTTTTTTAAGAATACAGTGTGTATTTTAAGAATGTACCAAGCAGAATCCGAATGGAAGTTATGTATTATATTGAATGTTACAACTTTAGGGAAAAGATATAAAGGCGTCATACTCCAATCAGTAACTACAGGAGAAATTTTGTTTAACGAGAAAAGATAATAGATAATTGAAACAGGACAGACAAAAAATATGAATGCAATGGTTTGAATTGAGATGAGATAATTAAAATAAAATTAAGAAAATTAAAAGAGGGGAGAAGCTATGCAGAAAATGTAAAATAGTAATAAGATATGGAATAGAATATAAAAATGAACCTGAACCTGAATTTCTGTCTGTACGAAGAAATGTAACCCTGGATTACGCTACTTTCAAAAAAAGATGTTTTATTTGTATTTTTTTTCTCTTTGTGAAAACTCAGATAAAATTTACAAAAAAAAAGGGGGGGGGGGACATGGACTTCCTCATTGATAAAAGTCGTATTTTGAATATGAATATAAACACTATTATCACAATATCTCATGTAGCTTTAGGTACGTATGAATCTTACAGCTTTTTCCAACATGTTTCATTTATTACTCTATCATTAAGGTCTGCATTCTTTTTTTTTTCACTTACATCATCAGTCCCATAAATTGCCTTAAAATCGTTGAGATGAAAGATATATGCACACCATGAAATATTCTAAGTGTTGAAGGCCAAGAAAACATGGAGCAGATTTCTTCACATTTGACTTAAACTTTATGATTTAAAGTCTCCTATTGCTGATCCACTAGGAGAAAAATCACCTTGGAGAATGGGGAAGGAAACTAGACTATAGTAGGTAACTCTCTGGCATGAATCACATCTTTCCTAAGGAACCATTGACTGGATGATAAGGCCCTTGATTTTGTAAATGAAAACAACAATTTGAGCATCATTTCCCTAACGAATAACAATATTTATGGTCTAGACCATCCTTTCCCAATCTGTTACTTAGCAGGCATGTTTGCAGACCACATTCCTATTTTGATTTCTGCCTTTTCACAACAATTTGAACCTAGGTACATATCCTTACATACCGGCCATAATTTTTGGCTTAATCCCATATGTAAGAGGTAGATTAAACCACTCTATAATTAGAACATTGTAAAAAAAATAACAAAAAAGAGCTGATTAATTTTCATGAAATAATGTGTAGACCTATGAGGCGTAAAATCCGACCCAAGCCATCAGTCGAGCATCCTGCTCAAAATCATTTTTAGAGAAACCTATGTAATTTGGCTCTTAAATAATTATATCAGATGAGGTATTCTCCTACAGCCTTGCCCCTCCCAGAAAGTAGAACAATTATGGAAGTGGTATTATTTTTTATTTCCTTCTAAATAATTTGTAAGTTTTTGCCTACCAGTGAAATTAGAAGGAATCTTAGCAACATTTCCCTGACGTTCCCATTTTGAGATACAAATCCTTAATGGAAAGTTTATGGGTTTACTAATGAAAATACAACTTTTAAAAAAGATAATATTTTGCAGGCTTCTTCTATAAAAGAGCAATTAAAGGACAAGAATTTGAGATCTGAGTTATTTGGTCAGAGACAGGAAAGAAATTGTTCAATAGAATAGACATGTCCTTATTTCTACAGACATATATGTATATTTGTGCATGGCTGCACCTGAATCTGTAAAAGAAGGCATAGCATGAGCAGACTTTTGCAGCAAAGCTTTTTGTTAAAAAAAATATTAGATATTACATCGGAATGTGTGTGTGTATATGCTTGGACTGCATTCTAATAAGAGAGCAGAAGTGATTTGTACACAAATACGTTCCATTTTTCTCTGAAGAATAGGATAGCAAATTCCTTTTTAAAGAATGGTTTGACTAGAAAAAATTAAATTTTGACAGTGATCCACTGAATCTCAAGAGTGGAGCATACTCAAAGTTAGATCCTTTGTTAGCGGCCAGTAAGGAGCCAGAGGTTGATAAGCTTTGTCTACTTCTACAAAGATAAAAATCCTACTGAATCCAATGGTGATTTCTCTCAGTTAAGGATACAGTTCTAAGGATAGACTTCATAGGAGTCATAACAGTACACTTCAACTAATTTTAAAGGAATTGTGCTGGGTAGAAAAGGGAATTGTGCTGGGTAGAACTACTCCAGTAGTCCATATTGTGTATCGCATGTAAAGTTTTCTCTCCTATACCTTGTTCACTCTTTTTTTACTTTTTCTGCCTTTTTAGATTCTCCGCAGCATCCTTCTCTTCCCTACAATAGAACGCATGGCAGAATCCCCACAAGGCAGGCTCCTGACTCCCCTGCTCTGCCAGCTCCGTTATATTCTGTACATTCCTATATATTTGGCCACCCTTTTACCAGAAAGAGTCAAAAGCTTCTTGGTCCGCTTTGCACTGAATCAGCAGAAATGGAACGATCAAACTTTGGTAACAACAATAACGAACCTGCTTAACATGGATTGTATTGGTGAGTAGGACCAGCACATGAGGCTCTTCTAAATTATCTGATCTAACATGCATTTTTATCGTTAAAAAAAAATAATGTATTCGGTAGCAGTATGGGCATAAGCCAAGGGAAAAGTGCCTTTTTCCTCCAGCAAAAATGGGTAGGTGGAAAAAAGTTGTTTGTTTGTTTATTCAACTTGTTTATACCATCAATTACTGAAGTCTCTTGGTTGTTTATAATATATGACATGATCTGCAGTATTTGGAACTTGTACTGTTGTTGCAGCCTGTAAGCCTGGGATATACAAATTTTTTCTGTATAGTATCTTCCTTTGAAGTAAAATGTTTCTTGAAATTTATCTCTCCCTTCATTATTTTTATACGCGCACACACACACAAACACATAAAACATGTGTGTGTGTGTATAATTTATGTATGTATGGCATTCAGCTTTGTTCGGGTATTTTCTGACGTCATTGTGCTTTTAAAGTTGTAGCAACGTTTTGGCAGAATCTCATCTGCCATCCTCAGGCTTCTGTATAGTGTTTGTCT